TATAATAAAGAAAAAAAAAAGAACAAAAATACATACTTTTACATGTAAAAAAATCAGTTCCATTTTATTTAACAACTGTTCTACTTCATGCATTTTCCAGTGACCGTGAACATTTGTGGGTCATCGGGGTGAAATCAGGCGCTCGTCAAAATAAAGAAATTGAGAAAAAAAAAACCCCCTGACATTTGCCGCCAGACGGGCGTTGTTTTTTTTTTACCGAATTATTTTTTTCTTTTTGCTCAAGATCTTTTATGTCCTTCGATAAACACATTCCTGGGTGGATTTTACTGAAAAATGTTGAACAAAGGCATAAATAATTTATTTTTTAAAATGTAAATTTTCACTTTCCGTGGACACTCAAGCTTTGGAAGTCACCTAAACCTGGCGGCCATTTTCTCACCAACCTTAGCTCTGACACCAGGCTACTCTCCCACCTCATTCATTCACAAATATCTCCACTTTCATCCCAGAGAGATCTAGATGGATGCTTTTTTTTCCATCAAAATCATGACAAATGAACAAGCTTTAAGATGATAATGATACAACTAGCTTGAAGATGATACCAAAAACTCCATATCCCCAAAAATTGACCAGTGCCTGATTCCACTGCATTGTGATATTATATTTGAATTTTCTTCCTAAGGACATCATAACAGAGTAAAAAAAATGGTGAAATGGTATGAGTTTAACGCCCCTATCAACACTATTACGTTATTTAAGGGGCGGGACCCCCTAGTTTAACGTCCGTCTCCGATAGGACCGAGCTAAGTGGGAAGTTCGTGTAAAGTGCCTTTCCCAAGGACACAACGTCGGACCGAGCTGAGGCTCGAACCCCCGAACCCGCAATCTCACGATTACGAGTCCGGTAGCCTAACCACTCGGCTACCGACGCCTCATAACAGAGTGACAGTACACACTAATGAGATTGGGAAAGAAAGAGAAGGTATGTTTTTTGTTTTAGTAAGAGTTTTACGGCACTTGCAATACAATAAGGTCATATAAGTGCCGAAGATTAGAGGTGTTACAAGCGAGTATCAAACATAAACAAGAAGGAGGAGAGATCAGGACAATAGATGTTTGATAGGAAAGAAGGAGCAAACTACACCAGGGCACCTGCCAACCACCCACGGAGAAAATATCAAAGCAATGAGTGACCACAAATTTCACACACTGTAAGTTTTTTTTTGTACGTTAGTTTATGCAACCCTCTTTAACATTTTACTAGCAGTTTTTTCCTCCACATTTGCCGTTCTGCCGCCAGGTTTGCCTTTTACATTTCGAACTGGCGGTTTGAAATGTACATGTGTTATGTTAGTTCATGCATCCACCCCCACATTCCCCCCTCCCAAATTCATTTCAATAAAAAGTATGAGGAAAGATCCAAACATAATATTCATCTCGTGCAACTTCTTTTACTACGCGTTAACTAAAAGCAAAATGGAACTGGAGCCAGGTCACCGTTTTATTTTAAGTCTCTTTCAACACAAAATGGGTAATTTAAAAGGCAGTATCCACGTTAAAACATCCACATCCCTGTGCAACAGAACCAAGCAAAATCCACTTAACTATAGAAACTCACTAAAAAGAACACCCCCTTGAAAGTTTTTTGTTTTGTTTTGTTTGGCGGGGGGGGGGGGGATATCAAACTAGGACCCACGAGCTCTGGAATACAAAATGAGCCACTTAACCACCCACCACTCCACCAAGCAAACTTCCACGAACATGTACACATCAGACCAGTCCAATACAGGAATATAACAGCATCCCCACCACTTCCTTCCTCCCCCCACATCAGGCTACTAATACTATAGGCCACAAACAAACACATTCCTCATAACCTTACCCAAGGCTGGCCTCTCGATGTCATTCCATGTCTTCCCACTCTTCTGTACATCATAAAGCTGGAGTATATATTATAATAATATAAATATTTTTTAAAAATTAATTAAAAACAAACAAACAAACAAACAAACAAACAAACAAAAAAAACACTTATAGATTGGGGCATTTAAAAAAAAAAAAGACATTTAATGAAAATAAATGAGTAAAAACAAACAACCGAAGTCAAGACGCACCTGCACCACAAATCAAGCACAATGGTGGTCTGTTATGATACAAGTAATGAGCCCCTTTCAACCATATTGGTATGTAAAGAAAAAGTCGCGCCTCCGATGAATCAAATAAATATGGTCTCCACTTTCCATTGGACCAAGCCAAACGGGCAGTAGAGAGAGCTGTAGACATCCCCCAAAACAACCTGGCCAGTTTCACAAACTGGTGAATAAATTAATAAGTGTATGGGAAGAGATATTTATTCACCAATATTGACAAATAAATGAGGCCGAACGACTAACTAAAGTTCATATCTGAAGTTTTGAAGTTTGACTTGCATGTCAGGCACGTGAAGTTCCCAGCCTGTAAGTGTATACACTTATACACTTCTACGACATAAGGTAACAGAATAGTCAGGGACCATAAAAAGTCAGAAATAATAAAGTACGCACAGTACGGGCGTGACCTTTGTTTTAAACAGATTCCGTTTTATGTTGTTTTTTGTTTTGTTTTTTTCGCTGTTTGCTTTTTTTTCTTTTTAACAAGAGAGGATCTCTTGATTTGATCCAAAAACTCTGACAGGGCTGAACCAAGCCAGGGAAGAGAGCTTCAAAACTCTACAAAAAAAAGTCTTTAAGAAAAGAACAAAAAAACTTGTTTTTGTTTGTTTTTTAAAAATAGGCTACTGCTTTGACGATTTGAATAGAGGTCACTCATACCTCAATCAGCCAGCAGACTTCAAAACTATTGGATAATTTTTTTAAAAACAACACCAACAAAAAGAACGGATCCTTGCCCCC